AAAGTGCGACAATATCCTTACTTTGTCGGACTATTCCACACTTCCACACCTCTGAGAAGTGTAGAACTAAGTAAAGAATGACAAAGGGTTCATGACTGGGGGAAAAGTGCGACAATATCCTTACTTTGTCGGACTATTCCAACCTTCCACACCTCTGAGAAGTGTAGAACTAAGTAAGAAGTGAAGAAACTCTGGATTTCATGGCCAGTGCTGGACATGGCTCCAATATTCGTGTTATAATGAATTAAGTACGTCTGTCTATCGCTGTTCTGGCTTGTTGACCTGAAGCTAGCAGTAGCCTGACAGACTGCGGGTTTTAACTGCTCGTCTCTTGCGTGAAAGGTCTAAGCGCCAAACACCTTTTCCGCTTAGTCTCTCCGATTTTTTTTTTTCTAAGACTTTGTGCGTGTTTCCTCAGTGACAGAGATACTCCTCATAGTTTCAGAAATGAGTCCTACCCAGGTGCATCATCTTACCATCATTATCGCCATCACCATCACCATCATTCTCACGGTCAATTCAACATCATTTAATCGAAAAATTTCTCCGCTTCCAATGAGCTTTAATCTCTCCTTTACTTCTTTATAACTTGCAAGCATTGACCAAATTTGAAAGATGTTGCCTTTCGATATACCGGATCATGAAGGTCACTCGCTCAGCTGGGAAAGCACCGGTCTGCCAAGCGGGAGGTAGTGAGTTCAAACCTGGGCCGGACTAGCCTGCGTGGCAGGCGTTCGAAAGGGAAGGGGAAGGGAATTAGGGCGCGAGACCTTTTCCCCTCGCGCGCCCACTACTACTGTTCGAAAAGAGAACGGGGAGTTTCCCCGGGTCTACCTTTCACGAGTCACGCATCAGTCATAACATGGGCTATGGGTGGGTTACAGTAAGCTTATAAATGGACTGATAGTGACTGCCAGTAGCGCCCTTGTATGCTGACGTCCGAGCTTACTGTTAAGAGGACACGTCTTGTTGTCCCCTAATCCACGACATCACTGACTACATTACAAAGCATCCGGAGAGGAGTCAAGGGAGTGTTGCAACGAAATTGCTTCCTGTTTACCGGATTTTGAAACCATGCCATTTGCATCCTTTTAGTTTGTTTTTTAGAAAGAGAATTACACTGACCTTTGCTTTAATTGCTTCACTTTTTAATTGCTATTTGTCGGAAATTTAGGTGGGGAGGGTCGGGGCGATGGTAGCTTTTTGTGGAGAAAGATTGTTCTTGGATGAGGGGGATTCAATTCGTAAACTTCGAATTCTTTGCGCAAATGCCCGAGGGTTCCCTAATGTCGACCTCCCAGGATGACCGCTGATAAGTGCATAAATACTTAGGTTTGCGTTCGATTGGCAAATCCGGATTTAGATTTTGAAATCCGGATTTCGGATTAAATATATTTGCAATCGAACGAGAAATCCTTCCTCAGGGTGGATTTCAATTAAGAAATCCAAATCCGGATTTCATTGATTTCCTTTTCACCGTTCGATTGGTAGATCCGAAAAAGGATTTGAAAAACTGTTCTCGTGAACAGCGGTCTTCTTTTTGCTAATTATGCGTGCGCGTGCAACACCGCTGTTCTTAAGGACAGTTTTTCAAATCGTTTTTCGGATTTCCCAATCGAACGGTAAAAATGAAAACCCAAAAACTGTGGTGTCTCAGCTGTTTTGGCCGTAAAGAGCAGAAGAAAAAGAAAGATTTCACCACAGGGCACCCAGGCTCTATGGGATCCCGGAGTTCGTTGGAATGTGAATGTTATAAGTAAGAGGATGTATGAGAACAAACAAACACCGGGTACGTCCTGGATTCCTGTTTTTGCAAAGATTCTAAATAAAAATAACTGACCTTTTGTTTGTGGTTTTACATTTCTTATTCTAAGTACAATTTGAAATCTAATACTCACCAAAATGACTTTGAAATGAATCTAGAACCGAACTGACTGTAAAACACACGACTAAAACAAAAGGTGTCATTTTTCATTCGGACCTTTTCTAAAAGCGGATTTTATAACGTATTTTGATTGTACTGATACATTCTCTTAATAAAATTAAAATTCCAACGAACTCCCGTATAACCTGGGTTGTCTGTTATTTCACACGTGATTCTTACATGATGATGACTATGACAATTAACAATATCATTCAGTTTAATTTTGGTGTTGTTTTATTGAATTTGGCTTAGTTGGTATGATATGATGAATTATGCAGATCTTTGATCATCATTCATCATTAACATCGACATTATCAACAACATCTTGGTCTCTGCCTTGTTATGTTGTGGAAGCAGGATTACTAGACGACTTGAGGGAAATGGGTTTTTTGCAGATGATTATGAAACAAGACGTTAATCTCAAATGAAAACACTTTACAATGAGTGAGACGTGAGGACAAGTCGATAAATTCTTCAGTTCAACTTTTTATTCAATAGAGTAATAATAATAATAACTAAAGCAATGCAGAGTTTACCTGATCTACTTAATTAAGTTACTTTATGCAATAAAACTTAGCCTGTATATCTGAAGGTTCTCTAAAGAGCAATCTGATGAGTTATGTACACTCAGCAAGTCTTTCTACGGGAACTTATCCGTAGCTGCTTCACACAGCATTTCAGCAGCTTACTTTTTTTCTGCAGCAAAGACACAAAAAGGTACAAACAACAAAATAAAAAAAAAACAAACCAAAAATCTTGTTACCAGCCTGCAAACTAATACTTTTAGTGTGAAAAATAGATTAAAATAGACCACGCGGGTTCATTTTTTAAAATACCATTGTAAAGAAACCTTATTTCAATGGTTTAGAGTGATTTTACTTGAACCATGAAACAGATACTAACAACTAGTGAACAACAGCAACATATAAACAAAAGAAAACAATGGAATTAGTGCATAATAGTGCGTAGTATTCTACTACCTATTCCACCGGTCAAGTAAAATCAGTTTAAGACAGAAGCTGGAAGCACTTGGAGCAAAAAAATATATGAATATTAAAGACCTACTTAAAAATTTCGGTCTTGATCCCAAGAAATAGTCAAACTCAAATGTTAAATCATGACATGAGGCAAGGACGGCAAGATGGAAAGACTGACATTTATCACAAAATCAACCTAAGAATGAAATACATAGATTCAAAATGGTTTGAAGTTATGTGGCAAATCACCACAAGATGCTTTATTAACCAAAAATATCCTTGGTCTGCTAAATACAGACTCCAGACTAAATGAAGGCACAATGTGTTACTCCAGAGGATATCCATACTCCCCCATATTCGGTTTGAATGCTCGCCAATACCCACTCCCCACCCCCTCCCCCCCACACACATACTGCTCGGCTGAATAGTACACTTATACCAGTATGGCTTCACACTTTCACATGAAAATGTTTCCCTTTGTGACCTCCCCACCTTGCAATTCCATTGCACCTATAATAATATTATGAGGTGGTTATGGATATTCTCTGGAACCACATGCTGAACATGACGGGAAATTTACATCCTCCACAAGGAGTCAATACAACAGTCTACGAGAATAACAGTTTTAGTAGTCTTCAGCTTGGTTGTGTGTTCATGAGAAGGGTGATGTTATCTCCTTTCAATAATATTCTCCCTAAAATTAACAGATGGAAAAATATGGAAATCAGTATAAAGATTTATAAAATGAAAAAGGTACAATATCACCTGGACACTGTACCAGAACAGTAAATATTTATTGTAATTTATTATATACATTATGTTGGTTATGCACACTCAAAAAAAACTACTGCAGAAATACAAATTTTAAATGAAGATATGGTCATCACAGTGGTAATTGCAATTTAAGCAATTGCAAATTAACGCGAAAAAAAATTCCGGATTCAATTTGCAATATATTGCTAAAATTGAAGTTACCACTGCGCTTATCATGTCTTCATTTTAAAATTTGTATTTCCACAGTTCACATCATCTTCATGTTTCATTCTATACACGGGTTCAGATGAACTCAACAAATTGGCCTGCTTCTAATAGCCAAATTGGTTAGAGCACTACAGAGCTAACATAGAGGCCATGGGTTTGAATGCCACCGAAGTCCCAAAATTTTATTCAGGTTAATTTGCAGTACCACTGCAACGATCATATCTTCATTTAAAAATGCAAAATGTACTACTACTAATTAGAAGCTAATTTATACAGAAAAATGTAATAAACAAATAATGGAAACACTACGTGAACACACACTACAGTAAAATTATTGTGATTTGTTAAAAAAATAAAAATATAGAAATCGGATATAATAAAAAGGAACTGAAACTTGTAAAACTATAGAAACACAGTTTAAGCCTTGAGAGCAACGAAGGAAATAAAGCACTTATAGACAGCAACACGTCTCTGCCACCTTTCCCAGCAATGTCTAAACTTGATTTTGAACAATACAAACTTGATGCTGGCCTCACTCATTTTAAGGTACATTGTCACACAAAGTCAATGATACACATCATAACTGACCATCAAATAGCATATGTGTGTGAAACTGACCAGATGGTTGGATTTCACATTGTGCTCACCTTAATTAAGTAACTCTTAATTTTGGTGCATTTTAATTTAGCCATTTTAAGAAAAATCGATAAATTCGCAAAATTAAAGTGTCGCCAAAATTTCATGTAATAAAGTACCTTCCTGCTAAAAGTTTAAGTCACCCAGTACATCTCTGAGTCTATCTGGCAGTTTACAGTTAATTTTCAATAGTATCTAATCTCAGGCATGAACATACCAAGTGGTCTTCTCTTTTTGGTCTTTAGATGGACTTCTTCAGCATCGTCCAACACAAGATTCATATACTCATCAAAACCCTACAAATGTTGAAAATTCAAAAGAAAAATTTTACTTCAATAGAAATAGATGAGGTTGCTGCCAAGTGAGAGAACGTAAAACAAAGGGCATTATAATAATGTTGCCATTTTTGTCACAGTCTTTTGTTTTGTACAATTACGTAAAAGCACTATGAGAGGAAACCTAAGGGTTGCCTACCTTTTGTTAGAACTGGCTGGTCAGACCAGTCCAATGTTAAGGATCATTCAAATCAATCAATAACCAGGGTTGTCAAAAAGATTTCAAGTAGCAGGAGAATAAGAGAAAGTAACCGTCACTGGGGGCGGGGTACAGGGGCAGTGCCCCGTTAGGGGTCCAGGGGGAGAAGCCCCCGGAAGCAAAACAGATTTGAGGTTTTCACGTTGCTGAAATTGGCTCTCCTGAGCTGAGAGCAATGTTAACAAGAGAAGTATCTGTTTTTGAATGAAAATCATTAATGTGTGGTTCCAGAAAATATCCAGACCCCCACCACGGAGGGAATTGGAAATTCCAGGGGGGTGGGGGTCAGAGGCCCAGGAAATTCCAGAAAGGAGGGGGGCTGGACCATAAAATCACTTTCCAGGGGGTCAATATCTTTTCGTTTTCAACCTGAGTTCGAACATTGCTTCTTACCGACCTGGTAGATCATTTTTAGGACGTAAATAACTTGAAATATATCACTTAAGATTGTTTCTTTTGATCTTAACCAGGTTTCCTTCCTTCCAAAAGCGTTTTGGATGTAATTTCAAAGGAATTAGACCGACTACAACTCGTTTTATCGCATGCTCGTGTGTTTGGCCGCCATTACTCGTTACCAGTCTCCCTCAAAACATAAACGCGTACAACACATCACGTTGCGTCAGTCGATCGTTCAGTAGAGTGGCAATTTTGCCTCACGAAGCACAAGTTATACACTGTAACCATTTCAAAATGTAGAGTTTTTATTCTCCTTTTCATTTTCCCTTACTTTTGTGGTTGAAGGTGTGGCATGTTCATGATCGAATTCTCGCTGAAATGGTGTCGATTTCACCAAACATTTATACGGCCATCGCGCATCATGTCGCCTCAGTCGATCGAAAAGTAGTAAATTGAACTTGGTTTCCCTTCAAGATGCAGGGGCCATTCATTGTTATCATTTCAGAATTCAGAGTTTTTATTCTTCTCTTTGTTTTGCATTAATTTTGTGGTCGTAAGTTTGACTTGTTCTGCATTCCCGCACGAAATGGCGTTAATTCTATCAACATTATGCCCATGAAGACGAATAACAAATCGTAAGCTTGCCCTGATTAAGGTAAATTCATAAATATAACGGACTTATTAACTTTCTCTTCATTTAAAGTAAGAGATGAGCAAAAATTGCGGATCAGGTTACTTTGTGGTTGGTGTAGTGTGTTTTAATGTTGGGAGATCACTCAAATAAATGGAAACAGAAGCATACAAGCTTCTGATGGAAACCGTTGCATACCTACCATAAATGGCCTCATTCTTCTACTTAATGGTCTTTCTTCGTGAAAATAAACTTTTCCAGAGGGGTTGGGGGGTCTTTGTCACACTTGTGGAAATTTCGAGGGGGTGGGGGGTCATCAGTTCCCTGCAAAAATGGAAAATCCAGGGAGGTGGGGGGGTCCTAAGTGAAATTCCCTCCGTGGTGGGGGTCTGGATATTTTCTGGAACTACACAATACATTTTCTTATGTCCTAGTACATGCTAGGTCCATATAATTTTTATTACAACAATAACGTTTACTATTTACAGTATGATTTTTTATAATGATTACATATCATTTCTTTAGTTGCATTGTGTTATCGGCACATACGCAATTCAAACTTTGATGCCGCAAAATGCTTCTCTTACGGGCGATTTTCTCTATAAGAATGAAGTTTCAGACAACTTTCCATGGTGGGTATATTATAACAAATCCTGTCTGCTCATGTAGCATACCTTTCTCTTTCATCAGCATCGATCCATAAAAAACTAAAATGATGTTCTACACATCTGACAAATTATCACACCAAACTACATTGAACACATTTTCGTTTCAGTTCGAAACTGCCGTTTCCGGTGCGTATTTATTTTTAACGAATCCTTAAAAGGATTTGGTTTCGATTCATTTCAACACAGACTTGTTTCGATGAAGTGATTAAGTAACGTGACGTGTTATCCTGGACATATTTCACCACAAGCTGATAACAACTTTTAACGAATGAGAGAATGGTTGTGTGATAATATTTCAAAACCAATGTCTTCTATCTTTGTGAGCCAATTTCATAAAAGACAAGTACGCATCGCATTACACTTCATTAGATTTCAAACGCACATGCGTGCCAGATGAGTGCGAAAACCATAACTTTGTTTGACCGTTGTTTTAAAATAGAAAATAGAACGTCAACACCGACAATTTTCCAAAAAACAGACACTTGAAAGCTTTTGTGTCTCTTTCTTTCTTCATTCTCAGTGAAAGATTATTTAAAGATAGCTTGACAATGTAAACAAACCTACGCTATTTTTCTTCGCTTCGGGGGTATCATATTACGGCTAATACGAAATCATGTCAAAAATCACGAAAAAGAACATTCAGGGCATGATTGAAACAATTCCTTCTTCTATTTCTACTTTACAACTTTTTTAATCATTGATGTTTACGCTTTTCTCCAACAATTTATAGCCGGCAAAACTTTCAAAGTAGCCAGCAATAGCACCAGTCACCGGCACATTTTGGCAACCCTGCAAAAATCTTTATTTATTTGTGAATTGGAAGATAGCAATAAGATGCTAATACCTTTGAGGATGAATTAAAAATAAATATTAATATTGCAAATATTATATAATAAATTAAAAAATAGATATCAATAGTATTAGTAATAGCACAGAATATTAATCAGGATTGTACAGCCAGTTCAGTTTATCTTAAAATGCTATAACAGGGATGTGATGGGTTTTAGTAAAAATTTGGAGAAAAGACTAGCTTTCATTTCCAAAATTACTGATCTAGTCACCTGGTTCTGACTTTTAGAAAGGGTCCTAAATATACTGCTAGTACTGTTACATTTCACTGAGTGGTTCAGTAACTCACAATGATATGGCCTTCAATCCTCATGTTGACTTGCTCATAAAGCCAAATCTGAATTCTTGACCTCTGAGAAAACAAATAATATTAGTAAGCTTATGAAACAGGACGAGAGAGGGAAGAAGACGGCAAAATTTGTGTGACAAGCATGACAATAATTTTGATTTAAAAACATTTCCGCTGAACTTTATCTTCCCTTAATTAAAGAGGTCTTTTTGTAAAACACCAGAAAACACTAACTTAAGTGAAGATCACCAGAAAACACATAAAAGTAACATGCCTGTCACGTTTGTCACACACAAGCATTTTGCCATCCTCTTCTTTCTGCCATCCAGTTGCGTAAACTCACTATTATAATAAGAAGTTAGCAAATCTATAAAAATCAACACTGTATTTTAATGGTAATGGTAGATGTAGTAGACAAACCAGAAAAATTATTACAACAACAGTTACTATTTAAACAATACTTACATTTTGCAAGTACCGAAAGATCAAATTCTGTGGAACAAAAAGTTAAGGAAAATGTACACATGACCTTTACAAAGCTGCTCTTTCAAAGAGTTCATTAGGCATCTGTAGGGCTTTACATCAAAATAATAGGACAAACATTAAAGATGCAAACAAAAACTTCTAAAAAAGGAAGAAAACAAGCAGCTAAGGCCCCATCCACACAAATAAAAACATTTTTGAAAACAGAGAGTTTTCTTTCCATTTTCTACATGTGGATGAGCCCTAAGGGTACATTCCCTTGGGATTACCCAGATCAGGATAAGTAAAGCGAGATCACTGGGAGCATAGTAAATTAAAGAAGTCAACGAAACCTTGTTCAAAGAGGATTCATCAGTCATTTTTATTTTGTGGAGGTGTGTTTATCTGCAGTATTGTCACCTTTCAACTCAACAATTTTCTAGAGTTGAGGGCACCACACAAAATAATGATTTCGTTGCACAGGTTATATCCCTGCTAGCACAGGCCACTTTCAAGCTGCTATCATTCACCGAATACAAAGTAAAAAGAGACCTCTGCTAGCAAGGAAACAGGTTATGGAACCTCGGTCAACTTCGCCCTGTGGGTTTCGAAGGGGTTTGCTTTGATGAGGCCCTGCCAGGGGGGGTCCCATGTCTCCTGTCTGAATTTTAAAATGTCTCGTGTCGGTGTTTATAATGCTTGTCGCTTATTGTCGGCTTTGTCGTCACTGTCGTAATTTGGCAGAGGGAGGTTGCCTCTTGTCGCGATTTCATTTTACGCGCTGTCGCTACTTTTTGGGCCATGTCGCTTGTCGGAATTTACCCTGGCAGGGCCTCTTTGATACTACTTAAAGTTCCCTCTACTAGCCTTCCAGTGCAATTTAACTTAAGCTCAGAACTCTCCTCACTCGCTAATCTTTGATTATTTCTAGTAATATGCTTGCCTAGGTCTATTGTTTTATTTCATACAAACAGAAGTTGGTTTGACAAATTGTTGGTTTGACAACATGTTTATAGCTTGTTTGTAGCGTACCTTCGTTTTTTCAACTCCCAAAACAAATGAACTTCACATTTTGAATGATCACTACCCGCTACCTGAAAACTTAACACGTAATTTAAGATCCTGCGCGATCTATTTGTTACGGCTACTTTTAAGTTATACAAGTTTTATGTGAGCTTACCAAACGAAGCTTGATCTCAAAGCACGTGCTTAGCGAACGTCAAGGGTTTGCTGCCTTTAGCATTAACTAAATTCTCTCTATAGTGATTTTTAAAGGATACAATAGGCTGGACCATAACTTTTTGAACTTTCTGTCCTTTATACGCCATCTTCTCTTGGTTTCTTTGCAGAAAATGCCACACACAAATTTCTGAAGATTAAACAAGATGGCCGAGAACGCGACTGCAGAGGAATCTGGGAAAACGTTCTGCAACGTCTTTGTAGCACGGCTCGAAAGAGTTTCTGGGATTGTTTTTCTAAGTTCGCGTGACGAACGGTGCTCCAGCTCCGTTGTTTGCAAAGTTGTTTTGCGGCGAAAAAACGGTTTTTGGATAGGCGAGAGATTTATTATCAATGAATAATGAAGAAAGAAACAGACCAGTATAAGCACTGCTTAGATTTGACGACGAAACTTGACGATTTTCGAAAACAGAAGCTTCTCTGCGATGTCACGCTACACACCGCAGGCACTACATTTCCCGCTCACCGTAATGTGCTGGCTGTAAGTTGTCCTTACTTTTACAAGCTGTTTACAAGCGATATGAAAGAAAAGACAGCTGAATCTATAAATCTGGAGGCTCTTGAAGTCCGTGCCAGCGCAATAGAGGCATTACTTAGTTATCTTTACACGGGCAACATTGATGTCACGCATTTGAATGCCGAAGAAATCGTGATGTTGGCTGATTATTTTCTCATTACAGAGGTGAAAGTATTGGCTTCACAGGTATTAGAGTCTAAAGTAAATGTGTCCAACTGTTTGTTTTATCTTGATTTTGCTGGGCGTTATACCTGTGAACGACTTGCTCAAGCGAGCCGTTTGTTCCTTGAGAAACACTTTGAAGAAGTCACGCAATCTGACGAGTTTCTTAGTCTCGGTGCAAATGAAGTTAAAGACATTATTTCAAGTGACAACATAATTGTCGGAAAAGAGGAAATAGTGTTCGAGAGAATTGTCTCCTGGATAGAACACAATCGAAACGAGCGAGAAGTTTATTTTCCCCAACTTTTATTGTGTGTCCGTTTGTGTTCTATGTCACGCGCGTACTTAGAAACGCTTGTCATCAGTCATGCGTTGGTACAAGAACAGGCATCTTGTTTGGAAATGATTGAAAACTCCTTGAAAATTACCGCATCGTCGAATCCTTCGTTGCCTCAGCAACCAAGGAAATGTCTGCAACCTGCAGTTGACGTTGTCATTGCCATCACTGGTACCCAGACCCGCCTGGATTCTCAGCCATCCTCTATTCGGTGTTATGTACCAGAGGAAAATAATTGGTTTGAAATGCAACATTTTCCTGAGCAAATTAACTGGAATGGTTTCGCCGAGCACGAACAGGAGCTTTATACAGTAGGGGGAGAAAGGAATGGACAGATTTCAGATTCTCTTGAGAAGTTTAACTTGGGGACAAATACGTGGACTAAAATGTCACCGATGCTAAAAGCAGTTTTATTTCCTGCAGTTGCAACCTTGAGAAGTTGTCTTTATGTGATTGGTGCCTCACGCGCTAACAGAGGAACCTTACAAATTTACAGCCCTTACCTGGATGCATGGAGTCTGGGACCGCAATTAAGCACCCCTCGAGAAATCACATGTGCAGTCAGCGATGGAAGGTTTTTGTACGCTGTTGGTGGCATGAGGGCTGGGGACGGAGAATATCTTAACTCTGTTGAGAGGTATGACCCAGAGGAGGAATCGTGGATTGAAATACCCTCTATGCTTCAAGCCAGAGGCGGATCATGCGCAGTGTCTTTCGAAACCTCTATCTTTGTCATGGGCGGGGAATGTAATGTTCGTGTAGCCCTTTCCTCTTGTGAAGTTTACTCCACTGTTGTTAATCAATGGCATTCCATTGCTTCAATGCACGTGCCACGGTATTTCGCCGGGGCTGCGACAGTGGGAAAGAAAATTTACGTCTTTGGGGGAGTGGGAGGGTCAAATGTCACACTGGAACAGAGAAGGGTTGTAGATCGGTATGACACTGAGACAGGTGAATGGAATTCGGAGATAACAATGCCCTGGGAGGCTAAATATCTGCGATGTTGTGGTTTTTCCTCAAGGAGAGACTTTTTGGCGAGTTTACCTCAAGTAACTTGTTGACTTTGGAATTTCTTTTGTTACTCAAGATTATTCAAGACTTTTCCTGTAGAACCCCAGCGCACAAGTTTTCTATTCTCTTGCGGATAATGTACGCCTGTAAAGTTTGTTATACTACCGAATCGATGGTATATTACTCGCACCTTCCAACTTTGATCAACGCCAGCTGGTTATGAAGAATTAGTCGGGGGATTTGAGCAAATCAGAAACGGCGAAATGTTCGGAATGAATGATAAAAGAGATTAAACCCGCCGTGTTTTGTTCATGCAAGTGACTGTATACGTGCCCTACATCACTATTTTCGGAACAAGCACACAGAAAGACAGTGCAGACGATCCAAGACAAGTAACTGGCTATTTAATAAATTTCGTGACACTACATCCTGGGGGTGGAATACTTGCTCTGATTTGTAAAATGGAAAATACTTGGAACACCTACATAACCAAGTATGTTATTATAGAATGTATAGATCTACAATATAAAAAAGATGTAAACTTTCTTCATGATGTGGAAGCGATAAATGGCTGTTAAAATTTATGGATTGTTCTTCTGAAGATAGTGTTACATAAAACTTAATCTCAAACAAGCTCTCTCTACTGGTATGAAATTACTGAATTTAACCGTAAATTATTTTAATCTTAACCTTTTCAAATCATCTCCACTGACTGCAAGACTGAATCATGTAAAATATATAACTACATAAAATATATAAATATATTAAACTGTTTTCCATAATTTATCATAAATCATACCAATTCATCGGCAATACACTAAATTGTATACCATGTTATAACTTAAACATGAGGCGTATTGACAAATATCGACGCAAACGGCTCTAACAACGTAATGCATGCTACAGGGGCCAATGAATGTACTATAATCTCATCGAACAAACGTCCCTCATATCCAGCTATGCTGGTGATTGTTACCAACTGGCAACTGTAAGTCATACATTTTTTTCTCAAAGAGAGTCAAATAATTATGTACCTCTTTCCGATATGTATAAATTCTCAATTATCAAATTGTTCTACAAACTAGTCTTGATATAAATACTTTCATTTTAACTTAAACTTTTAAGACTAAAGAGTGAATGTAAGCTTCAGTAGGAAGTGCTATTCGGGTGGCTTGATATAATAAATAAGTTCACCAAAAGGCTCCAAAACCTTTCTAACTTTTGAGAGGGGGAAGTACGTGTCTGTCTTAAAACTAGTATGCCTGTCCACGATGGCTAAACCAACAAATACGATAACGACCAGGATGATGACAGAAATCGTGAACCTGAAGGCTGCCGACAAGAATCTCCTGCATATGCCTGGACTACTGGGCCTGAAAAAGATCAAGACAAATGTGCAATGTAAACCAAACCCAAAGAACGATGCCCTTCCACCAAAACTGAAAAACCTGGTTAAACCAGGGTTATCCAGAGTGCAAGCCACTAGGTTTTCTGGCTGTCAAACCAGGTTTACCAGGCTCCACCATATGTGCAAAAAGGATATTCCTGGTAAGTCTGGTTATCCTAAGTACCAGGGAAACCAGGCTTAACAAAGCGCCTGAAGTATTAATGTAAGCTTCTTAGTTAAACAAGACGATTTCAAATTGGTTTCTTTAATAATAATAATAATAATAATAATAATAATAATAATAATAATAATAATACCCACGACAATACTTCGCCGTTAAACCAAAACAAGGACGCCCCACCCTTCTCGTCTTATCCAAAGCAACATCGGGTGTGAGGGGACCGGGTAGAACGTGTATTTATTTAGTAACGGCTTTTAGTTTAGTCAGGATGACAGAAAAAAATAGGTATTTTTCCAGTTTGGTCATCTAGTTTTGTCCGACGTAGAACTATGAAAAAAATGAAACCCAATCGTACCTTTCGCTCGAACTTCCTTCCCCGGACTCCAATTCCTCGACTTCGCTAATATTTTCACTGGATTCCTCTGCTTCGTCTGAGAGTCGTTCCCGCGGGTCACTCGTCACTTCTTCCTCGTTCCTTATAACTGTCCCTTCTCCCACTCCTGTTTCGTTCAGCGTGCTTCCATCTTCTCTTCCTTCTGTATTAACGACAGAAATTTCTGGCCAACTATTCGATTGCCCATCTTGAGCCCTTTCTGCCTCTGGATCGGTTGCGGCCACTGCGTCATCGACCTCGACTCTTGGAACTGCCGCAGACGCTGCTCTTTCTTGTCTCCCGGCACCTGAGCGACGGCGGAAGCTTCTTAAAGCTTCCTTGGCACGCATTGATGTGGTGTGAAAGGCCATGACGAAATTGAGAAGACTATTCTGTTTTGTTCCATCGGTGCCCGAGACAGGCTAGAAAAAAGCATAAAAAAAAATGTTTTGCCCGTATGTGACCGACAAACTATCCGAGAGTAAGAATATCAAAACGAGCTTATTTTAATTATTCCCACTTTTTTTTCCATCGGTAGAGTAACAATGCTGAGTTAGAAAAGAATTATGATGCCTTAACAAGGAGGTAGGTACGGAGCACAGGAAAAAACAAGGATATTCAAATTTTGGTAGAAAGAAAAAAAGAAAAAAAAAAGAAAGAAAGAAAGTCATACTTGGTCAGGACGTGTTGGTGACGAGGAAGCACTCTTGGTCAGTGTGGAATCTAAAAACAGAAAAAATTCACTGTTGCTAAAAAATATTTCATCATCAAACGCGTAAAACATATATTCACCAAGCGTTCAGTCCACTATAGGCAAGACGATACATCAGCAGCTTTGGAATACAACTGTCTCTCCTTGCACTCGCGAAACGCCTCTAGCGGCGAGGAGCCAGGAGAGACGGCTTATACATCAGAAATAGACCTTTTTACCGATACCATAGTCTGCTACACAGCCGTGTTTAGTGTCGTCACGCAACGCTCCTCCCCACAGTGGGGAGGAGCACTGCGTGACGACTCTAAAAACGGCTGTGTTGTTGTGAACATTTTTTATATAATTTATGTTAATTTATTGATGTCTGCGTAATATTGTTGTCACGTGATCTTTATTGCACCATCAAGCAACCCGAGACGCGGGAATATTTTTTTGTCAGTAAGCATTTTTTGATTTCGACTATTAAACATGATCAGTTGTGTTTACTAAATGGCGCCCAACGTGGGGCAGATTTTCGATCGCAATGCCTCCCAAAAAGGGTAAACCGAAGTCAAAAACACACGAGATATCAAGTACATCGAGTATGCAAGCGAATACATCGAATTTGGAACGACTGCGAGTTATACGTGAAGGACACCGACGATATGTATCGAAACTGGATCAAGAATTCACCGAAATGTTGCAAAGCGAAGACAAGGATTACGAACGGCTCAATGTTATGAGACAACTCTTGGATGGAAAACAAGAGTCGCTTAGCGAAATGGACCAAGAGATATTATCTTTATGCGAAGTTACAACGATTGATAAAGAAATCGAAGAGTCAGAAGAATTTACTGCCTCAATTATACGTCTAAAATGCAAAATCGAGAATGCGAGCAAGGTGAACATGCCAACCCAGCAACACGTGGGATCTCCTCAAACGACATCACAGCCAGTGAATCAAAATGCAGTCCGTGCAAGATTACCGAAGTTGTACCTGCCGAAGTTTAGAGGAGATGTGACCAAGTGGAATACCTTCTGGGATTCATTTCAATCGGCGGTTCATCGTAACGAAGGGATTTCCAACATCGATAAGTTCAACTACCTCAATTCTGTCCTTGAAGGGGCCGCCGCTCGAGCTATTCAGGGTCTTACCTTAACCGAAGCGAACTACAACGCAGCAGTCAAATTATTACAAGAACGTTTCGGGCGTCCCCAACAAATTATCAGCGCACATATGGATCAGCTCCTCAAGGTTTCGCCGTGTTCTAATGATCGCCCAGCCAGTCTTCGATACGTCTACGATCAAATTTGTGTTCATTCCCGCGGTTTGGCATCGCTCGGCGTAACTTCAGATCAATACGGAAGTCTTTTAATTCCTGTTATTATGTCAAAGTTGCCATCTGAGATTCGATTGCAGATAGCCAGGAACTCTAAGGATTCTGTATGGAAAATGGAGGAGTTGCTAAACGTGATAAAGGTTGAAGTCGAAGCGCGGGAAGCAAGCGAGATGACCATGGCGAAAACAAGCGAAGGCGGGAAAGTTCAACCACCCGGCCGTGATTCAAAGTTTCGAAATCAAACGCCAACCGCGAATTCACTCGTCTCTCAGCAAAGTGGGAACTTCAAAATCAAATGTGCCTATTGTCAAAACGAGCATTACTCTGCATCATGTGGTGTGGTAAAAGATACCGCTCAACGAAGAAGTATTTTGGAAAGGGATAAACGATGCTTCAATTGTTTGCGTTTTGATCACTGTGCGAAAGACTGCACGAATCCAAAAAAATGCCGACACTGCCAGCAGCGGCATCATCAGTCGATTTGTTCAATGCTTGACCAAGGGAAACCGAAACCAAAAGAAGTTTCAGCCGAAGAGACAACGACAACAACAACAGTGAGCAACAAGGCAAAGGGAACTGTGCTCTTACAAACAGCGAAAGCCATGGCTGTCAATGTTGTCAGTTCTAAAGCCGCACCAGTTAGAATACTTTTGGATACCGGAAGTCAACGCACCTACATCACAACCAGATTGAAATCGAGGCTTAATCTGACCCCTGTCAAGTCAGAAACATTGCATCTTAACACCTTTGGAGACGAAAGATATACGAAGCAACAATGTGATGTTGTGAACTTGCGGTTGCAAGGATCTCAAGGAGAAATCAAGATATCTGCACTATGTTTCCCGAAGATTTGCTCGGCGGTGTCAGCTAAAGTTAACATCGACAATCACGTACATCTGCAAGGTCTCGAGCTTGCTGACATGAGCATTGCTGAAACAGGTCAACAGGACATAGATGTGCTAATTGGATCTGATTATTATTTCGATATTGTGTCTGGGGATGTCATTCGTGGCTGCAGTGGTCCCGTAGCAGTTAGCAGCATGTTCGGATGGGTCTTGTCTGGTCCCACAAGTGCTGA